CGCACCCTTTGACACTCCTTGACTTGCCAGTAGTTACAAGAAGGAGCAGATGAACTGGCCAAGAAGATGGGTTTGAAAATCCTCATATTCACCTGATTTCCACTATCTTGACACAGGCACACCTGCATGCACACAGTTATTCGAGTCTAGCACAGGGCAAGTATACAAGGGTTCATGCCCTCACCCTCTCCAGCCCCCTGCACCTTTCCCATGGCAGCACGCAAGAAGGTGCCTTTCACGCTCACCTTCCTCTGCTGCCAGGGACTCAAAGAAAACAGCAGGCAGGGGAAAAAAAAAGAAATATATATATATACACACACCTGCCAGGCTAGGGGAAAGAGATGCAGGAACCTGCTGTTCTGGCCACAGCACAACTAGCCGTTGCACTAACCCGCTCTGTCCCTGTGCCTCCACAGCCATGGGAAACGGAGCTCTTGCTATCAGTTGCCTCTGTATTACAGACGCTGAGCCAAAAATGAGGCACAAATCAAAAAAACAGGGTTACCCTTCCATCTGATCTTTCAAAAGAGGGACTGAAGTGGTAGAAGAGATGCCCTTATCAGTGCTGCATTTTCTACTTTTACAAACTCCAAACAGTGGGGGGGAGGGGGAATCCAACTCCAGTTTTCACTTCACAGTGAAGGTATCTTGATCTTCCCTGGGCTATTAATAAGCAGCTTTAGTTAGAAGACAGTTTGTTCATCAAAGAAAGTGGAGAAAATCCAGGCACTGATCACACAGTGATTAGAGCACAGCTTGTAAGTCACTTCTAACTCACACTGATGCTTCAAGCTGCTCCAGAGGTTTTGCTTTGCCGTAAGTTAGCCATTTCTTCTCTGCAGAGTGAGAAACACACAGCTGTACAGATCGCACACAGCAACAGCCTCTTACCCAGAGCTTGCCATCCCAATAAAATGCTCCCAGCAGCTTGACGATGTGCCGGTGATCGCAGGTCGCCAGGATTTCAATCTCCACCATGTAATCCTCCAGTTCATCTTCACTCTTTGTTTCAATGACTTTGGCAGCTGCTAAAGCACCAGTTTCCTTATTCTTAGCCTGCAAGACAAAACCAGCATGAGTACAAAGGTGAGGAGAGCCAGGAACACACAGTACTTGCACAATTCCCGCTCCTCCAACTCACACTCTTGGTACCAGCCACAACACAAGCATGGAAACTTGCAGATGCATTTCTGCTTCCTAAACCTGCCCATAGCTTCACAGAGGGGATGAATGCTGTGTCGGGGCCAAAGCATCCTCCTTCCTCCCTCCAGTCTCTAATGCCCACACCATTTCCCATCACGGGGAGAAAAAGGCTTTTAGAAAAGGAGATGCATCCTACTGTTTATAGCATGACAAGAAAGATGACAGAGGCAAGAAAACCTCAGAGCATAGAGGCTCTCTGATAATAGCATAGGTGATAGCTCCATTTACTAGAATTACTGAGTACACAGACAATCCAACCAAATTCACCGTACAGCTGTGAACCGTCTCCACCCCGAACACCCCTGCGCTCCCCTTCCTCACCAGGACCCTCGGCAAGGCAGTTTTCGTAACACACAAGGGAAACGAGGGATCACCTCCTTGGCAACGAGAAGCGTGCGTTTTGATTTCCCAGGACTGGCCAGTATTCCTGGTGTTGTATATTAGTGAGCTCTTCAGATCACAGTAAGAAAAATACTACACATGCTCTCCCAGCTGCCCCCTCCATTTTATATAGTCCCTTTAACCAGCTTATTCACCAGATAACCTGAAAACCATCAAAACCTCTTTGTCCTAGCGGTTGGAAAACTTTTGCTGACTTTCCCTCCCCATTCCTCACAACAACACAGGAGTGTACCCTTGGGTTAGCAGCTTGCTGACCTCCTCCCCCTGCCCCAAACACCCTTCCCCAAGCAGCTCTCACTGCCTAGGAAGGGGTCACCGATAGCTGCACAGGGGCTGCCCTGCCTGTAGGTGCCACACACCAGCAAAAGGCTATTAATGCTGGACGGGAAGCATTTGCAGACGCGTTTCTTACCACCCCACTCCTCTTGTGCTCCCATCCCACATGGGGAAAAGGCAGCTGATGAAAGGCTTGGCTAAAACCAAGCATCTGTAAGCAGGCCGTGCCAGGCGAGCCTCGGAGCCGCCCCATGGAGGACCGTTTCAGCATCATCCACCCAGCATTGCCCATTGGCTTCTCCCAAAACTGCCAGGGCAAGTTTGCATTCTGCAAATGCACTTTGCACGAATTGTTGCAAAAATTAGAAGTTTGCAACAAAACACCAAAAGGGCATTTGCGAGACAGTCTGCACACAGGGCTTCACTGAGATGTGTCACACACTGGGAGAGAGGGGGCAAAACGGGAGCTGTTGACTCAGGAGCTCCCCGCCATTCCCAGAAGTGCATTGTATCAGCAGATGAAGGGACAGAAGAAATCCCTATAGCTCACCCGCTCTGCTCCCCACTGACACAGGAGAGCCCCCATGGTGTGATTTCAGTTCATTACCCATTTTCCTTCCATCACACCCACTCCGGGCTGCCTCTCCCCCAGGGAATAAAGTCCCACTGTGGATATTATCACCGGAAGAGCTGGGCAAGCTCTGGTTGTGACCTTTCTTACCGCTCTGTAGTTTACATATCTGTGTTTGGAAAACCTACGCAGGAGCTTACAGGAGGATTAATTCCTAGTATAAACACCACAAGCTCCACTGAACAGTTTTATATAGCTTAGGTGATAGTATAATTGTGTACCAAGGAACAGGCCAGGGTGAGGGGGAAGGAATAAGGGGAAAACCATACAATGGAAGGAGGAAAATAAGGCACCCCCCTGAGTCTCTACTGGGTTTTGAAGACTTGCTGCATTCTCATGAGTTGGCATGGACAGCTCTGTCTTTACCACAGGGGACAAAACCATTTCCATCTAGGCTCGCTGCCCAAATGCAAGACAGCAGCTCATGCTGGTTTCAGGCGAAGTTAGGGGGTTTCTTTTGCTCAGGTTTGTTTGCTTCTTACCAAGTTGCCACCAGATGCCCAGAGGAGGGCACGCAGAGATGCAGAGCAGAGCAAGCACGGGCTAAAGCACAGCACTTCTGAATCGGAGCAAGAAGTGCCCCACTGTGTTTGCTCTGCACTTATGGCACTGGGAGAGGTCCAAGGAGGGGAAGTAAATATTGTGAGAAGAGGTGGGGCTTCCCTTGGAGGTCAGCGATCGCACGCTTCCTACTGGCAGGGTCCCGGCCAGCTCAGCCCTTCCAGGATGCTGGGGCCCTGCAGGCACCTGAAAAAACCTGGGAGCAGAGCGTGCCCCAGTCCCCCATGGCACCATCTCCCACTGAGATGTCTGAACCACCCTGCCCTCGGGGGAGCCACCCCGGCAGCTATGCTGCCACCTCTCATCCCCTCCCAGGCTTGCTCAGGCATGCAGGGGTGCTGGATGCTGAGCTGGAGGACATGGTTTTGCAAACCGGGCTGCAAGCTGTAGGTGGGGAGGCGACCGCAGCCCATGTGTTCACTGTGGCAGCCTGACCTCTTTCGTTACTCCTACGACTAGTGGGTAAGCAACCCAGCAACTCCCAGCAATCGCTTCCTTTCTAGATATGAGCCTGTGTACACCCTGCCTGACGTTCAGTCTTTGAAGACGTCCATTACAGAATTAGCTGCTGCCTTTCTCCACCACTTTGGACTGTCGCAAATGAGAGTGTTTACCCATTCCATACCCATAGCCATCTCCATTTCCTTATCCATTCTAGCAGGGGATGCAGCTTGAAGTGGGAGGGGATCCCATGAGCTGCACGAGGTGGGCTTCGACCCCAAAGGGAGAGGAGCACTGCACTGTCCCATGTCCCGCCAGGCCAGCTGGCACAGGGAGGTTGCACCGCTCGGTCTCACCAGCAGCAGTGAGACCACCATCTCCAAGGAGAAGTCAGCTCAGGACATCACGAACTCATAATGCAAGAACATGGAACAGCAAGCTCACACAGGCAGGCATGCCTCAGGATGGTGTGGGCACGAGCCCTGTACTTTCCATGGCTCTGTGATAATGTCACTGCTACAACTGAGCACACTCACAGCACTTCCCAGAAGGGACCAAAATGCCCCACAACCCCACGGGACGGCAGAAGAAGCTGAAGTAGGAAGGGGACCCGAGACCATGAGGTCAGTAGGAGATTTTGGAAAATTAATCTCCTCCGGCATGGCTCACCGTAGTGTGGAGAGGAGACTGGTTGCCCCACACAGCTGCCTTTGAGAGGACCAACACTTGGACAGGCTGGACAGCTCATCCCCTCCTGAGTTGTCCATGGCCCCTCTGAACCCAAACCAAGTCTGTAGTGTTTCTACCATACAAGATGGAGGGAGATGCACACCGGCTGGTGTGGGCACTCTTGAACTGAGCTCAGCAAGTCATGTTTGTCATTGCAAGAGCTTTGGAAATACAAGGAGCTTCTGCCCATTTCTCCACCTTCCCTTTCTCTCCATCTGCTTGTCCTCCAGCCCTGACACCAGGCTACAGCCACTTTCCCAGCAGCCTTCCTGGGAATGGCAGCTGCCTGCCATCAGGCACACGGCAGCATCACAGCCCCTCATAGCAGCCAGCCAGCTCCAAAAGCTGCTCACAGCAAGCCAGATTTGTACAGGCAGGGGCAGATTTTGGCCAAGGACGCTGGGCGGTCTCTCTGTAACTCACATCTGGCAATTTCCTTCAGCTTCTCTGCTGGTATTTTCCTGCATACAATGTATTACAACAGAGATATTCTTCCAGGAAGGTTTGTTTGGATCCTAAATAGGCCAAATGCTTACATTGCCAGCCCTGGGAGCCAGTTTCAGACATCCCAGGCATGAAATGATGCTTTAGGGTTTAAAGCCCTTTCCTGATTTCTGCTTATCTTTGTACAATAGATCAGAGTCTGCCCCAAGACATTAGCACAAAGCAAAACACAGCCCGCTCTGACCTCAAAAAGCCAAGCTAGCAATTATGCAGAAGGAACCAGCATCTCCAAGTCTGTAACCTGCAGGCCTGGATGACGCCTTTCACAGCAAGGGTACACACAGCACCAAGCTGAGAAGAGGCAGCATCTGCTGCTCGCTCTCCAAGAGCTGTGGGAGGGAAGGGTTGCCACCAGCCTCTCCGCAGCTTCACCTCTACCTTGAGCTCCACTGGGGGTCATGCCCTCACCTTGCAGAAAGGGAAATGAAAACTTCTCTCATGGTGGGTGTTTTGTTTGTCTTTAAATCCCAAAGAAAGGAAGAGACAATGATATAGAGGAAAGAAGAAAACCAAGAACTATCAAGAAAGCACCCTAGGTTGACTCACCAACAGGGAGTTTGTTAGACAGCCACATCATTTGAAATGCAATCCTGCAAAATACACGGTTTGAACTACAAATCCAAAATCTTCTGCAAACCCCAGCCTAATTACAGGGTCTCCAACCCAGCAAAAGTCCATGTAGAGAATGCAGAGATAGGGAGAGACGTTCAGTTCTCAGGTAAAACACCCCTAAATGTGCAGCCTTTGAGGAATTCATGGTGTTTCCAATTTTTTCCAGTGAAATTTGTGGACAGAAGTGAAAGAACCACCCAGATGGTAAGATCGCAAGAACAGAAGCTGTCTGATGCCGGTCTATGGCCTATAGCTGGTCAGTCAAAAGCACGCATCCATTTCCATCTTTTAGCTCCTCCACTCCTGGGCATTTTAATGCCATGGATAATTTGTCCCTGGAGTGCTAATTAGCACCAAAAAAAAAATAGAGCAGACAGCTGCCAGCATAGTGCCCGGGATGTGCTGCAGAACTACAGTTACATTCATTACAGTCTTGGCATTTAAAACCTGAAAAGCCCTTATGGCCACTACCAGCCTTTGTGCAAATCAATGCACCGCACAGACCACGGCTGACAAGTCTATGCAGAAACAGGAACGGAACACACATTCCACAAAAGAAAACACATCAAAAAAGTTATCCAGTAAACCACTTCCAGAAAGCCACGCCAGCAGCCAAGCAGGATACAAAGCAAAGGATCTTGCCAGAGTCCTCTGGAGCAAGATGGGCGCTGGACATGCTACTGCCAAACACGCTGGGAATACCAGGGAATAGGGGATGAGTAGGATTACTCCTAGAAGGCAGAGGCGTAGAGAAACTACTGCTCAGCTTATGGATTTAAGGGGTGAGAGGTGTCTGTTCAGGTGACAGAAGAGGCTGTTTGGCCTTTGCCTGTGACTCACCCTTGGAGCTACTGTGAAATCCAGATTGTGACAAACGCAGGAACTATTTTAAGCCTTTAAAGAACACATTACCGGAAGGCTGGATTGTTCAGTCCTTCCTCGGGCAGGACTGCTGCCGAAGGCATGGCCAGTTTCTAGGTGAGGCAGAGGAAAACCCTGCGTGAACTCTCACTCACTAGTAGAAAGAAGAGAGCTAGCACCGAGAGCACCCCGATCTCTTCGTCTAGGCTTGCTTGCTCACAGTATCTTCCCAAGCCAAGGGATGATCCTTTTTAAGCTGGTCTGCCATATCGTGCCACAACGTTTTTGGTGTAAGCTACTCTTCCCATCCTTGTAAGACTTCTTTCCACACCAGGAGAGCTGATGCTCGAGATATTGCTGAGTTAGAGAACCAGGAGTAAAAAGCCCGCTGCTTTCAGTGGATGCTGTATTTGGGGGTTGATAGTTCTGACTTCTGCCCCCCCATGCACCATATTCCTGTTGCGTGTCTTTGTATGCGAGCAACTGCTCGCTTAGGTATTTCTCAGGGATTACGTAATGATTAACTGCCTACTGATGAACTTCGCCTGAGCTGCCTGCATTAAACAAACACAGGACAGACGGGCTCGAGCCAGTGCTCATCTTATTGTCAAATAATCAATGGGAGCTCAAATGAGTTCCGTGCCCCACAAGCCCCCTAGAGCCACCTTCAGTTTGTCACCATACACGAGGGCCTGGTTTGGGTTTTTTTGGAAATGCTGAATTCAGCCCTTGGTACCAGCCAGCAGGGCAGGTGGTGACAAATGGGCACGGGCACAGCAGTAAGGCTGGCACAGCCCTGGTCTAGCAGCTCCCGGCGCACACAGCAGCCTGCGTGGAGGTTCGTCCCTCAGGCGTCGGGTCGGGCAGGGCTCCGACCCCACTGGGCTGGGCCAGCGCTGCTGCTCTGGCAGCTGTGGCAACACTTTTGCAAGGGCTAGGGGGAAGTGGAAGCGGCTTGCGAAACGAGATGAAAAGCGTTAGTTAAGAAAATGCAGAAACGCCTTCCTCTGGGTTTACAAGCTAGAGGCAAGGGAAAGTAACGTCGCCAGAGAGCTCAAGCTATGGCCAACGACTTCTTTTCTATGTGCATGTGTCAAAAAAAGTGTGACCAAAGCATGGCACGTGCACCTTTTCTTGCCTTAAAAGCTCAGCAACGGCCCAGCAGAAGGGGGTGAGAGGCAATAAGCCCAAGCAGCAGTACGTTAGTCAAGGAGCAGAAAAGCTCCACACAGAGCTTCAGCCCTTGCACCCAAACACAGCAGCAGACAAGAGGCTTCTTTGCTGGTATGTCACACTATAACCCACCTACAGAAGCTGAGCTGACCTCGTGGTTCTGGCACGAGCGAGAGATGAACAAAAACCCATGCAAGGTTTGAAGAAAGGAAAGATCTACGTGGATCCAACATCTTCAGCCTACATAGACCTAGAGCTTGGAAGCATGAGACATCCTTCCAAACACTGGTCCCCTGGAAGAGTGCAGTGCTCCAAGTGAAGCACTCCTGCCCTGGTCTTCAGTCAATGCCACAACATTGAAAAAGACATTAAAATGGGGGGGGAAAGCCATGCAACTACTTCTGAGTTTCGTAGCAACTTTCTGCAACCAATTTGGTACATAGAGAGCTAAGGACTGAGCAGTGAACAGGGCTTAGATGGGCAGTGGTAGTATGCATGTCTGTCTGTCAGTCCCTTCACACTGGGTTAGAAAAGCATCAGATAAGCAAGACCCTTGTAGAAAAATAAAAAAACTGATCAGACCTTTGCTATCTCCATAGCACAAGCCTGCCCAGGGAGGACACCCCAGCAGCACGCCTGTGATTGTCAAGAGAGAAATGCAGGGCAGGCAGCAACTCAACAATGCCAACAGATGCAAGCACTGAGGTCCACCAACATCAGCTGGCTTTGCTGGGGCATAACTTCCTTCACTGTCTCTCTCATCTACTGAAATACCACACAAATATTTCGGTTGGTTAAATAAGGACACGAGCCATAAGGACAGACATACAGGTAGGTGATCAGGGAATTGCACGAGAAGGGAGTACGTCAGGAAGGTTTCCACGTGTTGGATGGGAAGAACATTCTGTTTTGAAGAGCGGACATTCAGAGGGTGGAAGCGTGGTGCTTTTCTATAGCCAAGTCAACAAAACCCATAGGAGACAGAAGCCAGTTAATCCAACTCCAGCAGCACTAGGGCCATCGCTCTTCCCAAGGGGCACGCTGCCCCTTGCAACCACATGTCCCAGAGGCAGCATGCACAGACACCGCTCCTAAATACGACTGCACTCTTCCCTTTTCAGTGGGAGCAAAGCAGCTCTGGCAACCATCACGTGCTCAGGCCCAGCCGCTGAACCAGACAGGCTGCACTGAGCAGGGCGGCAGTTCACCATGCCCGTGTTTTGCAGGACTTAACCCTGGTACACCAACAGGTGTGCCACCACTCCCCGCCACCTTCAAGGGGCAAGTTCATTAAAAATTTACCTATTATTTCGAAGAATTTTTTAAAGTGACTTTGCTCTTCATAGCTGAATTCCTTTTCACCCAGGATTTCAGGCTGAGCAAGGCTGGCAGTGCTGGTGGATGGGAGGGCAGCACCGCAATCCACTGCACGCAGGCAGAGCCCCCCCGAGGACCCCCAACCATGCGGTGTGGCAGTGGGGTGGGTTTGACCTGAGACCCGTAAGAAGAACCTGAGATTTACAGACAGCAGCACCCCGAGGATGATAAAAAGAACATTTTTTTTCCAAGGAAACTGCACACTCAAGAAAAAAAAAACACACACAAAAAAAAAATTGTGAGACATGCCGGGCAGGGATTTTTCTAAGAAACAACGATTGCCACGTGCTTGAGGGTGAAAGGCTCAAAGCCCTCATCTAAGCTTTCTCTTCCATGCAGCTGCCCACAGCTCCCACTGTCAGCAGCATTGCCAAGCTCCGGGCCATGACACTGAAGTCATTATCAAAATATTTAGGCCATCGAGAGCTATCCCTCTTCCCTGCCACACAGATACAGCCGTGGCTCTGCAGAGTGCAGGACAAGCTTCACTTGGACTTCAGCAGGGACAGAGAATCACACGTTTCAGTGAGTTTAAAGTGAATATCAAGTTTAAAGTTCAACCAGGTTTAATACTGTTGGGCCACTGCTCTATATGTAAAGGAGTGGTGTCTTCCCCTTCCTCTTCTCTCCCCAGCTGAAACATTTTAAGAAAAACCTTCAGCTATTCTAAGGGACAAGGCCATAATTTGATCTTACCATGGGTTTTTAATTTTTTTTTTTGTGGCCATAGTTACAATCAACTTAAGCTCCCCCCCCCCCCCTTTTTTTTCCTTCCTCCTTTTTTTTTTTCTCTTTTTTTTTTTTTTAAGCTAACCCAGCAGATTAGCATCTCTCTGTGACACCCTTTCCAGGGATTACATGTTATATCCCTCATGAATCAAACCAACAAGAGCTGAGCCCTAGTCACTTGAGCCAACTCATGCAAAACCAGAGCGGTGTAGGTTTGGCTGGCGAGCAGAGGGAGGTCTGCAAGTGACAGGGACGGTCTCGTGACTTCGAACGGGCCCATCGCTGTGAAAGCCAGGCTTATAAGGCAGCTGCACAACATTTAACAATTAGTCTTTTATTACCCAAATTTCAAAACAGAGCATTTATAGTCCGTAGCATGTACAACGCTAATACCGCCATAATAGATCAGATAACCCAAATTCGCTTTTAAGATGTATCTTAAGAAGAAAGGAGAACAACAACATAAAAGGCACGCTTATGAGTTGCTGTGGCACAGGGCTCAGCGTTATCTCTCTGGGAGCC